CACGGCCACAGCCACGCTGTTCCCCCTTCAAGCATTCTCTCCTTCTCTAGCTTCACATTTCTCCAGCAGTTTGTCTCAGACAAAGCTATTTCTTGAGTTTTGCGGGCTGCCATTGTCTCTCACTCCCCTCACTCTCCTCAGTGTTTCCCGTAAAGTCTCTCTTCCCCGTGTCAGCACAAGGACAAAAGAAGGCACTTCGACCAGACGGGCAAATGCTGACCACAGAAGCATATCTAAGCATACCACACAAGAAACGCAAGCATCGTCCAGAAACGGCACAGCACGGCATTGCGGCTAAGCTGGTGTCCCTGCCTACCTCCCGCACCGTGACCGTTCGTGTTTGAGAATCCGCAGTCGAGTCGTCAAGGCAGCGCGCAAAAAAGGTCAGCACAACCCCCCCCTCCCCCCCGCCTCGTTGTCGTTTTGCCTTTTCCTTGGTCCTGGAGCATGCAGCCAAATGTGGTTTGTGCATTGTCCATGTTCGTATTTGGCAAATCGGAAGGCCATGCATGTTATTTTCTGCGCTCTCCGCGTCCTTCGCTGCCCTGCGCCTCATCTCTCCAAACGGCTGCCTACCCGATTAGCGCTGCAGAAAGCACCAGACAGCGCCAGATACCATCCGAGAAATAGCCCCCCAAAAAGAACGAAACGCTGACCGCTGGGCATCAACAGCAGCACCCGTTCTGTCATCCGTTTTCCCTCTCGTCTTGCATTTTCTTCTTGTTTTTTGTCCTCAGAGTCATCGACGTCCATTGCACCTTCCGGCCTCTTTTTGCGCTCTTTCCTCGCCCGACCGGCTTTGTCGCGGTTACGTACCCCCCCTAACTATTAGGGCTCGCCCACAGGCATCCCCGCGGTTTCCGGAAAAGGAGGGGTCGAAGCTTCAAGTCGAGCCACAGCTCACCCACGCCTCAACCCTGCAAACCGGCGGACAACTCTGCCAACCGATATACAAACACAATCGAACCGCCTCTCACTCATTGTCTGCTGAGCGCGTCTTCACAGGGACGCGCTCTGCCCCCGAAACACACCGCCCAATATGTACAAAGTCAAGGCAATCTACGAATACTCCTCCGCCCACGATGACGATCTTACCTTTCCAGTCGGACAGATCATCACTGTGACGGAGGAGGAAGACGCCGAATGGCTGGTTGGAGAGTACACCGATGACGCCGGCAATCACAACGGGGGCCTCTTCCCCCGGAACTTTGTCGAAAAGTACGAACCTGTCGCGCCACCGCGGCCTACGCGCACTCGCACCAAGCGGGACTCGGAGATTCCTGCGGCCTTTTCGCCCGGCCCCTCCCCCGCCGCTGCCGTGGCCACGGCCACAGACGAACCGGCCTCCCCCCTGGCCGCTCCGGCGCCAGGTGTTGTGTCTGTACCTGCTGCCGCATCGCCTCCCCTTGTCTCGCCTCCAGGCGCCGTTGCCGCGGCTGCGCCTGCCCTCCCGTCGCCGGCGGAAGTTCCACAACAAGTAGAGGAAAGGGAGGAAGAGGAAGAGGAGGAACCGGAGCCGCCGAAGCTTGATAAGACTGTGGTGTCGCCCGTGCCTGCTCCACCTAAGGCCACCGAACCGACGTCGCCCGTGTCTCCCGTCGCCGCGTCTAAGTCCCCCGAAGCTGCCCGCCCACCTCCTGCTGCTACTTCGAAGCCTGCCCCGTCCCCCGTTTCTGAAAAGCCTTCGGGCAACTCCTTCCGCGACCGTATTGCGGCATTTAACAAACCTGCTGCACCGCCCATCACTCCGTTTAAGCCTAGTGGCCTTGGTAGCGGCTCAGGCAGCAGCAACTTCATCAAGAAGCCGTTTGTCGCACCTCCCCCGAGCCGCAATGCCTTTGTCCCTCAACCACGAGATGTCCCGACCGCCAAAATCTACCGCCGAGATGAAGACCCGGAGATCAAGGAGCGCGAGGCCGAGAACCTGGAGTCCGCTGAGAAGGCTGGTCTTGTTCCAGGCGCAGCATCTGCAGGTGCTTCTGCTGGTGGCGGTGAGGGCGACGATGACGAGCCCAAGCCCATGATGAGCTTGAAGGAGCGCATGGCCCGTTTGCAGAAAGAGCAACAAGAACAGGCGCAGAGACACGCGGATGCCGCTGCCAAGAAGGAGAAGCCTAAGAGACCCCCAAAGAAGCGTCTCGAGAGTTACGACTCCGCGGGTGCAGCTGCCAGTGCTGGTGCTGCTGGTGCTGGTGCTGGTGCTACTGCCGGTGCTGCCGACGAGGCTTCTCTTCCTGCCCTTGAGCGAAAATCCACAAGCGACACGATTGGCCGCCGCTCCATCGAAGAGCCTGCCACTGCTCACCCACACCGCGTACCCCATCCTCCCCGCCGCAAGACGTCTAAGGATCCTGAAAGGCCCGAGGCTGATGGCAACGATGCCGATATGTCTGGTGCCGGTGACACAACTGAAGGCCAAGACGACGAGATCACCGAACGCGACGACAGCGACGAGAAGTCGAGACGCCCATCTCGAACAATCCCCATTATTGTGCCAAGCGAGAGACGCTCCGTTGAACAGAATCGCGCTAAAGTGCCTGACGAGGATGACGGGGAGGAAGAGGGAGAGGAGCATGCCCTTGAGTCTACGGCCACAAAGGCGGCGGATGAAGAGGATGAGGAACAAGAGGCTGGTGGGGAGGACGAGGAGGATGAAGGCGATGAGACAGATCCCGAGACACGCCGTCGTGAAGAGCTGCGGGCGCGGATGGCTAAGATGAGCGGGGGTATGGGCATGATGGGTATGCAAGGCATGCAGGGCATGTTTGGCGCACCACCGCCCCAGGGACCAAAGAAGAAGAAGGCGGCAGCACCAGCTGCGCCCGCAGAAGAGACAACGTCACCGAGCACCCGTGCTCCACCTGTGCCCGCTATGTTGGCGCTGCCTGGCATGATGGGCCGCCGCTCTGAAGAGAAGCCCGCGGAAGCGCCTGCGGACGAAGGAAACGAAGAGGACGAAACGCCTGAGCCCATCACCAAGGAGTCGCGTTCCCCATCAATCCCGACCCGAGGTGCGGCACCGCCCATCCCAGGCGGCCGTCCTGTGCCACCACCTCCTCCCCCTGCGGCGGCAGCCGTCATTCGTTCGCAGAGTGAGGGCTCTGCTTCGGACGACGAGCTGTCCGAAGCCCAGCGCGACCCTCTGGAAACACCCAGAGGCGAGCCAGCGCAGCTGCCACCGCCTCCACCTCCTCCTGCCTCCGCGCCCAAGGCACCGGCGGTCCCCACGTCTCCCCGACCCACGAGTAGCGGCCAACGTGCTGCGGAAGCTGCTGGTTCGCCTTCCTCACCAACCTCCCCGCAGAATAAGCGTGCCAGCCGCCTGCCGCCCCCGATCCCTGGTACTGCGCCAGCCCCGCCCCCGCCTGTCCAAACCCGGCCGCCGCCGCCGCCTCCCCCGACTTCTCTGAGCCGGCAGTCTACCGCTGATATGCGGTCGCCGTTGTCACCTAGCAGATCGCAGCCGCTCGGATCAGATGATGAGGAGGAGGAGGAGGAGGTTACAGAGTACGAGGGCGACTATGACACTGACATTGCCAACCCCGTCTCGCACAAAAACTCTCTAAAGGCTCATGCCCGCGATTCTAGCCTCGAAGACAGTGCATCTCTGAAGTCGCCCACTTTGGAGAAAACACCATCCTTCCCACCGCCAGTTCCGGGTGCGTCCAGAGCGCCGCCTCCGATTCCGAGCCAACCACCGCCCCCACCCAGCTTGCCCCCAAGTCTACCGTCCAGCGGACCGCCCGGCGTCCCGTCCAGCCAGCCGCCTCCTCGCCCATCAATTGGCGACAAGAGACGGTCCGTGGACGTGCCTCGGGGCCCTCCGCCTCCGCCTCCTCCACCACCTATTTCGAGCCAGACGCCGCGCCACGGTGATGACTACGACCCGTACAATTACTCTGCGCAGCCAACCTCGCCCGGTGTAGCTCTGCCAGGACTTACTTCTGGGGCTACTGGATCGTTTATGGATGACTCGTACGCAACACCCGACCTCAGCTTCTCTGTATCTGGCGCTTCGGCCTCGACCGTCACTGGATCTCGGGGCGGTGCTGGTGCACAGTACCCACCCGGGCCGCCGCCACCCCCACCAAATGCACCAGCACCGAGTGCTGGCCCTGCACACAGCAGTCGAGGCACACGGCAGTCCATGGACATGCCTCGGGGTGGTGTCTCCGGTGTGCGTCGTTCTCTGGACGTGACCCGCCCCTCGATGGAGTCGGGTTTTGTCGCCAACGACCTGGATCTGGCACCTCACTCTGGATGGTGGCTGCAGCCAAATAGCCTGCCACCCCAGCTGCAAGGTCGCAAGGACATCTTCTTCGAATCGGAGGAGTCGCAGTCGGCCAAGCGGGGCGGCAAGGTGGAGATCACCCGTGACCTATACGTCCTGTACGTGGACTACTCGCAGACAGTCATCACCGTTCGCTTTGACCCGTCCGACTCGTCCGACGTTCACCTGGAGCAGCGCCACGAGCCACCGCCGCGCAGCTTGCGCCAGGATCAACTGGAGCAGTCGTACGAGCGCTTCGGTCGCCACATTGCCGACTCCATCCTCGCCAAGAAGGACACCGTTGTGGGCGACGGGACGCCACAGACGCTCGTCCTCGAGCTGATCAAGCCCTTCCGGGATGCCCTGCTACCGGTTGGCACGCGCGCTTTCGGCGCTCTTGTCTACTCCAACTTGGCCAACGCCAGCACATTGCAAAACGACGAGATCCGCGCTGGTGATATCATCACGCTGCGCAATGCCAAGTTCCAAGGCAAACACGGCGCGATGCATGCCAAATACAGCATGGAGGTCGGCAAGCCTGATCACGTCGCCGTTGTGGGTGAGTGGGACGGCACCAAGAAGAAGGTGCGTGCCTGGGAGCAGGGCCGCGAGAGCAAAAAGGTGAAGCTCGAGAGCTACAAGCTGGATGACTTGCGGTCCGGCGAGGTCAAGATCTGGCGGATCATGCCGCGCAGCTGGATCGGTTGGGAGGGCCAGAACTAGGAAACCCATGGCCAACTCCGTGGAGGAAGAGGGCGGAGGGGAGGGAGTGAGTGGGCGATGACAGTGGCTGGCTGCGCCAGGACAGCTTTCAGGTCATCCAACATCCGGTCGAGCGTGAGGTCGCTCCGTTCTTGGCCGTCAACGCCAACGATTCCGTCGTCCTACATACCTCCGCCGCCACCGCCGCCGCCGCCGCCGCCACCGCCGCTGCTCCCGAGTTCGCCTGTAATGCTAGTTCCAGACGAACGACAATGGGCTTCGTCATGGACACAAATCATGCCCCACGATCCAGCCCTGTTGGCCTACCATTCTCGACGCAGTGCCGCGCAAGGCAACTAGTACTTTCCAGTGACGGCGCTGCGCAGCCAAGGCAGCAACTCAGTCGACAATGCAATCCGGATCCGAGAAATCAGCGAGAACAGTACCATGGGTGACTACGAGACGTTCGATAGGGTTGGCCAGTCGGAGACGGGAACCATCCGGCGATTGTACCGGTCAGCTTGATTTTTGTGACTGTGCCAGGCTGTGTCTTTTTGTGTTTGTTTTTTTGTTTTCAAATTTGTTACTTGCTGTCATTGGCTTTTGCTTTTATTATTCACCGCATTGCCTTCAGCTGCTCTCATTCTTGTCTTAGTCTTTTTTTCTTCTCATGCATGTTAGTTTTAGTACTTGATTTTATCACGTTACCTATAATTTTCTGTCTTCACCTTCATTGCGCTCGTCATGCACCACTACTTTCCTCTTGTACACATTAGCACCAAGCAATAAGCAATAAAACTGCAATCACCACATTGTCATTAACATATATGAGGTTCATCAGATACTCTCCACGATGCTGCAGATAAGAGGAGTTCAAATTGATAGATAATGGCATAATTGAACAAAAGAGGGGATCTCGAAATCTTCATAATGTAAAACGACTGTAATATGATTGTGAACAGAGGTTTTTTGGGCTTGAAAAAATCAAAAATAGAGTGGAAACAAGAATGAAGACCAAAAAGGCAAAAATACAAATGAGAACTCCAAATAAAGATATCGCGTTGGACAATCGTCACGCTGCCCGTGGTCTTCCAAATATAACAAAATATACGACGCAAGCCATTGAGGGGTGAAAAGTCTGCAATACCCGTACTCCAATGCTAATTTGAGTGAAACCAAGGAGAAGACGAGCCGACAGAAATATGCCCAACATCAGAAAAGGTTGAGAACCGACAACGAAGCGGCAAACCGTGTCGCTAAGCACCAAACAAAAGGAGGAAGAAGAAGAACAAGAAAAGAAAGGAATTAAAAAGAATACAGAAGTAAAAAAAGCCCAATAGAAACGAAGGACGCCCCTGTTAGAAATTGCATGTGTAGCTCAATAGGTCGCTTGTGCATTGCGCAAGGGGCTCGACATATATGGGCTACCATGATTACCGCTACTGCCACTGCCGTGGCTGTTGCGGCGATGGAATACATGCTGCATCAAAGCACGCGGGTTGACATTGTCCATGTCGAGTGTGCGGGATATCAACGGAACAGCAAGGCCGTGGGCCTTGCGCGGCTGCCAACGCGTGCGGATGCAGTCATCAGTCAAGGAAATAAGACCGGTTGACACAATGACGCTGATAAAGTTAGTATCGAAAGAGTTGTTTACAGCACAAACGGGGGTGGGGGGATCTTACTCTGCGACGTCCGTCATGACTTGGAGGACAGAAGGATCAGCGATCCACATGTGGCAGGGCGGAATCCAGCCGCCAGCCACCTCGTCAGCATCGATCTGGTTCGGCGACCGCATCTCAGGCACGATGTGGGCAATGGGGTTCTCGCCGTTGTCGTCACGTAGTAAGTGGTACGACACCACGTTGAGATGCTTCTCCACGGCCCTTTTCCATGTGTATTTGTGGCCCCACCATGTAAACTCGTACCGGGTGTTGTCATGACCGTTGTTATGCCCACCCCGCAGTTCCAGGTCGACGCGGGCATAGTTGCTGAACTCGAGCTTGATGGTGTTTGTTGGTTTTGGCGGCGGTGGGAAATGCACAGACCGGGACTTTTCCCGTCCAAAGAGAGATGGGGTGGAGCTGGACAGTGAGGGCTGTGTCGAGGATGTGGTGTATTCGCTGGCGTGATTGCTTCCATACGGTGAATGGGACGTGGCCGGGCGCTGTTGGTGGTAGTCGGTGCCCGACGTGTTGGAGCGCCGAAACGCTGGAATGGTCGCCATTGCGCCCAGCGAGCGCAGGGCTGTTGTCATGGAACGCTGTAGGGCTGGCCGGACGTCGGTGCTGCCAGTCTTGGCATGGCCACCACTGGTGTTGCTTGTGGTGCTGCTTCGGCCCCAGTGCTTCATGTTGTCATCGTAGCTCGACTTCCGGCTGGTCCTGCCCACTTTGTGCTTCTTCTCAGACGGGTCAATGAAGGTGAGTTTTGAGTTACACACCTCACGGCCCGAGTCACGACTGTACCGGCGCAGCGAAAAGTCACGCTTCGCCAGGTCGTACATGCGTAGGTGGAACAACTGGTACGAGGTGAGAATGCGTCGACGGCCCATGGGAACAGAAATATCGACTCGCAGGTTCATGTTGCCGTCAGCAGTAAACTCGTCGTGCCGAACAGACATGCGGTCGAGGCTCGGGAAAAGTTGCGCAAATTCTTGGGGTGTCGCGGGGCACACATTCCTGTCAACGATGTCATGACGATACTCAGGAAGCGGCGGGATGCTGTCTTCGGATCTGTTCAGGCCGTGGTACCAGTCGTGGTCTTTGGAGACGTCGTCGTCGTCAGTCAGGTCCAGAGCGCTCTCGGGAAGCTGCTGATCCAGTTCCTCGTCAGAATCGGCGCCCGAAACGTATGTATCCACCGACGCGCGAGGATAGCACATTGTCGATGGCGACAAGTCCTCGTGAGGATCATGGCAAAGCGGCACCGGCGACGAAGGCATGCGCTCACTATCGGGCAGACGAGGCGAGCCACTCATGGAAGTGGGAGCGGTGCTTTGCGATGAAAAAGGGACGGCATCGATCACACTGCTGTGGCGGCCCTTGTTGGACTCGTGGTTGCTGCTGAGAATGGAGCCGGTGCTGTCACCGGAGTTGTACTTTCGTATTGACGGCATGACGGATGGTATGTGAGATGTGATATGTGATGAGAACTCGGCGGTGGTGCTTTCTCTTAAGAGTGGCGTAAGTGGATTGGACACGTCGTCGAGGTTGTTGATGTTGTTATTTTGCAGGCAGGCGCTATTCAAGGTGGATGTCGATCTGTTGATTTAAGAGTTGACTTAAACAACAGCGAGAGATATGACGGTGACATGCGGAGGCAGGCAATGACTATATAGACAAGACTCAAATCACAAGAGATGGAAATCAGGGACGGCGAAGGGGACGGGAGGAATTGGCGGGTGGGCTGTGTGGAACACGGAAGTGTACAAGTAGACGACCTAGAAATGGTACAAAACAAAAAGTGAGGCGTTCCGTTGGCTGAAAATGCACGAACAGTGCAGCAGAGGCAGTGTTTTATCCAAATGGGTGTCAACGGATGCAATATTGGGCTGGGACGAGGGTCTCAGAAACTGGTCAAGCTATTTGTGGAAGCCAGTGGTGGACAGAAGACGAGACGGGGTGAACAACAAGCTGGGGTTCGACAAGCAGGACAGAGGAGATCTTGCTGGTTGCGGGAGAGCCGTGAAATTGCGAACAAGGTCTGGGAAGTCGTCGCCAGCAGAGTGTGAGAAAAGTACACGATATATAGCAGTGACACAGATGCTGCGAGAAACCACTTTCGTCGTCCAAGGCCGACGGTTCACTTGTGCAAGAGGGCTTGTAGGAGGAGTGAGGTTTCGTTTTGAGGAGTCGAGGACATGAGGACAGCGAGGACGACGAAATTGTGGGAAGCACGGATACGGGCGCATATATTAAAGAACACGACGAGAAGGTATACAGATAAAACTATCGATGTTTTGGTCACACGGTGCATGGGAGCGCGCGTGGAACAGCAGTGCATCGCTCTTGCCAATCCGTCCGCGCGGGATGGGGGGAAGAAACAGAAAGTGCGAGAAACAGAGGCAGGAGCATACGACCTCTGCAGTTCCTGCATTCAGTGCCAGGCAGGTGCAGGCAGAAGAGAAAAGGCAGATCAGGAAGGAGTGAATGGTCAAAACCAGCCAGCAATCCGAGGCAACGGTACATCGTGGAAGCCCGCGGTGGGCGTAAAAGCCAGAAGTAGGGGGTGTGGAGTGGAAGGGCAAATCACAACGAACCAAAGATGGCGTGGGAATGGAATCGGAACAGAAGGCAGATGTGCGACCGACGCAGAAGACGAAAGGGAAAGAGCCAGAACAAAATAGAGCCATCAGCGCAAAGGTACAGCGCGCGGCAGGAGCGGTCGGCTAGGGTGGCTTAACCAGCCGTCGACCCCCTTTAGGTAAAAAAAAAAAACAAAAAAAAACACATGAGACATGCGAAAAAACGGAAGACCAAACCAGCACAGATGGTGATAAGTTGCGACTGGCTCCACCATCGAATGCTTGTTGCTTCGCTGTCGCCTGTCCCAAGCCACTAGTAGAGGCACCCAGGCGGAAAGGGAATGCCCCGTTGCTTCGACAGCGCTACTACGGCCGACAGTCATCACTTAGCGGGCGGCTGCGTCCGGAAGGGGCGAACGGCGTGGTTTCCTGAACAGGAAACCAACAGGAGGTCGCGATGGCCGAAAAGCGCCTCTTTCTGAAGTGATCGCAACTTCCTTTCCAAGCATGACTGTGAAAAATTTCGCCACTACCCTTCAAAGTTTCCTCAAGGAGGACATACAAGGGCTGCTCTTTCCCATTATCGCCGACGCGGTGCCTACGTTGCGCGTTTCCAAACCAGTCGTGCCTTTCCTCGCTGTCGCGAATATCGCCACTTCCATTTCAGGAAGTTGGGCCAGCTAAGAAGGCAGCATGGGGTAGACACGCCCACCTTCCACGGGCGGGATTTTAGGTAAAGTTGCCCGCGATGTTTTCGCTCCCATGTTTTGGCTACTCTGCCCCGTTTGCTTCTTTTCCATCTTATATTCCATCGTCCCAGCCACAGAGGCAATTAACCGATACAACCGTGCCCGTTTCTCGCCTTCGAAGACACGCAAGCAACTGTCTTTAGTGCCCGGAGTTGCTTCGCTGGCAGCCGTGACTGCCTAAACATGCTCGCTGGTCGCGGCTTGACACATCACCCGAAATTATCTTACCAGCAGAATAGCAAAGTCGAGGACCCCCAACGAGCAACGACTAGGGGCCGACGAGAGGCGAATGTAAAGGCGCTAGAGAGCTGATGTTAAGGTTTCAACGGCCTCGGCGCCAGCGCAAGCCCCGGGCTAGCCCATCTGCACCCGAAAACGATGTCAGATATGTCACCTTGCGTGAGAAAGGAATGCTTGAGTTGAGCCATAAGCACTGTGGATGCAACACTTTTGTCAGCAC